TCCCTCCAGCATCTCATCTCTGTGGCCCTGCTGGACTCTTTCAAGCAGTTCCTGTTGTTCTTGAGCTGAGGGCCCAGCACTGGCCACAAGATTGCAGCTGTGGTGTGAGCAGGGCAGAGCAGAGGGGCAGGAGAACCTCTCTGCCCTACAACCACCCCTTCTCATCCAGGTGACCCCAGGATGGTGTTGGCCTTCTTGGCTCCAGGGCACATTGCTGCCTCATGGGCATTGCTGCCACCAACACCCCAGGTCCTTTCCAGCCACTCGTCCCCAAGCCTATAAAATTTTCCAATTTTTGTAATACTTACCACTCTGGACAAATGCTGTGTGGTAGGATTTTACCTCTTTAATGTTTGGAATACCAAAATCTCAGGGATTCCCACATGTCTGTCTGAAATTATCAAGAGCTGCTCATCTCTGTGGCTTTTGGAACTGTCATCTCGGCATTTCATGACCATTGGCCTTGTTGGCTTCTTCAAAATTTGTTAGGAAAGCCCATGTTACTCTGTTTTAAAGCATGTTCTGAATACAGAGCATTAAATACATGCTGATGTCTAGGTCTGAATGTGTCAGAGGTGCGCATGAGGAAATCTCTGTGTTGGCAGCAGAGGGTGAGGGAGGCCCAGGGGGATCCAGGTATTGGAAGGGGACAGCGAATTCACTCCTCAGCTGCCCAGTCTGTTTCCTCCCCCCAGAGCCTGACTCCCCCATTTAATGTTGCACAGCACAGAATTTTGTTAAAAAATAAGCAGGAGCTTTAGGAATTTAAACTCTATAGTTCCCAAGGAAGAGAGAGACCTGAAATTCCTGCCTCAGAGCTGAGTTGGCAGCAATTTTAGCAGGCAGGTAGCTCTTTATGTGAGAGATAAGATGCTGCGTCTCACTCACCCTGTGAGTTTTGAGACGTAACTATTGCTCCTTCTGAAATTTCAGCCCAGATAAAGAAATCCTCGATGCCTAAAAGGCTGAAGCATCATTTAGGGAACCAAAGGGAGGTAGAGAATGAAGGTGCTCATGGGGATGTGGGAGGGCACAGAGAGTTTTGTCTCATTTTAGTTCTGGTAAGCGCCGCTGAGTTTTTCTGTGTTTCCTTCCCCCCCGCAGCCGATGCAGGTGATGTTTTCAGGGGAGGCCACTCACAGGAAGTATTATTCCACTACCCACGGTGCTGTGCTTTCTGGGCAGAGAGAGGCCGCTCACCTCATCGAGATGTACCAGGACCTCCTGCAGTGCCAGAGCTGAAAGGCCCCACGGTCGCCAACACCACCAACGCCCAAACCCTCGTCCTGGTGCGTGGAGGGCTTCTTGGTTTTTTTTAATTTCAGTTCACAGTAGAACAGCCTTTATCTTTTTCTATTAAAATCATAATAATATAAAAAGCCCTAACTGTCTAAAACGTTAGTCAATGATAGCTTAATTCCCGCGTGCTGTATTGTTAACAGGGAAGGGTGCTCCTTTTGTCTGGTAAACTGTTTCTTTGTCATTTTAATTCTAACTTCACTTTTGGTGCCTATCATATATATATATATGTATTTTTTTTTCTTTCTGTATTGTAAGTGCCTTCTATACTAAAATAAATGTTGTAATAAAAAGACCGGGTGCTTTGGTGCTTCCTGGACACTTCACTCAGTCACTTGCAACTCTTTTATTAGTTATAAAAGTAGGAGTTTTCTCCCTTCCTACAAAATTTGGAGTAGGAGGATCTTGAGATAGACCTGGATACGCGATGGACTGGATACAGCTGGAGTCTACTCTGTAGCTGTAATTTTTGGACAGCTAATCCAAGTGTATAAAATGTGGACTTATGTGAGTGTGTGAGCAAGAAGGAGACTGATGAGAAGCAGCATTCTTGAGCCACCTCTGTAAGGAAACTCCATCTTTTCTTGCACAGCAATACCCAAAACAGGTGAGGTTTTCACCCTCCACTCCTTGAAAAGAAAGTACAAAAGTCTGAGTGATGCTACTGATGTTGAGGAGTTTTCTGTTGTGGTTTAGGGCTGGGCTTGCCACTAAACCCTGGCCAGACACTCTCTATG